AGCCAGATTCAGCCACCACCGTGACGGAGACGAGACGAAAGGTCCACATCAGAGGGCCCCGGAGAGACCGGACAGGAACCCACACTAGCGCGAAGGCTAACAGGCTAAGCTAAGGTTTTTCTTCCATGAAGCAGCTCTGTTGTCCTCCATCTATATTTTCAGTTACAGGCTGAGTCATTTCTACCTTCTCCTCTCTGTCAACGCTCTCTGGTTTCATTTAAAAGAGTCGATATTCAGATATTGTCCAAGATTAACCTTCAGGGTGGATATAGCTCGCTAGCAGCCTCGCACCAATGACCTAATTGACGTCATCATTTACCCAGAATGCTTTGCGTGTAAATAAAATGGCCCCGTCCGTGTAATATCTTTTTAAACTTTTAGTTTAAAAATGATAAAAACTAAACATCCTACAGTATTTTTACAGTCTTTAATTTTACAGTTAAAATATATGTTTATTAAATAAAGTCTAACGTTACAACTAATCGGGGATCCCTTTAATAAGAGGCTGGTTTACACGACTCCTCTGCTCTTCCTTTTCTCCTCTGACATATTTGTCAAACACGAGCCCGGCTGACGTCCCAGGAAAAAGGGGCCTGCGAAAAAGAAGCATGAAAATAAAATATTTGTCCTTTTATTTTGCTTCCTAGTCCAAGCTTAAGACCCCAAAACTCCACAGTCGGCACCGATGTCTTTTCAGTCCTGGGGTGTCTTGTCCACAGTGGTTAGTAGAAAGCCCATATTTAACACGTGTGCTCGATACGACGGCAACATCAGGATCACTGAAAAGGTAAAGCAGGGAGGTTTCAAAATGTTTTTTAAAAAAAACGCCACAGTTGGCGAGAAAATAGTCTTCGTCAGACAGGATAGAGCACATGAGACAATAAACACAGAAGCATTTGAAGAACCTATAGAACACACAACTATACACCATTTTAGTGTTTTTACACACAAGCGTGTTGGAAACGGTGATGTGCTCCTGAACAACAAAAAAAAAAACATGTCCAAAAAAACCCGTAAAAAGTTGCAACTGACGAACAGATTGTCACTTTCCATGCTCAGCGCACAAGCAGTTGGTTTTCTTCAAACAAGACAAGCAACATCATCATCAACATCATCATCATCATTCAGAGTTAATTTACGAGCAAGTCAGCTGAACAATACTGAACACGCAGAAAGAAATGCACAGGCATATAAAACAGTCCCTTATAAAAAAAAATAAAAAAATTATAATAATACCTCCCATTGATTCATGGGACGTAAGTTAAAACGTGAGCAGAGAATAGCTCGTCCCGATACCAAAAAACAAAACAAAACAAAAAAAAGGCTAAATTAAAAATAGGACACTATAAGGACACTTGAGAAAAGATGGGATTGTTTAGACGAGCTGAATGCCGTTGCCGTGTACTGCTGTGTTTGCTGGTTCAAAGCGTAGAAAACAAAAGAACTCTCTGAAAGTTTATGACGAAAACAGATCGAGAACTGAAAACTCTTGCAGCAGTTGTAATAAAGGCCACTGAATGTGTGTGTGGAGGTGCGGGGGGAGGGGGCAGTGTGTGAGAGAGAACTTGGCTAAAACTCCGTTCACACCTGGCATAAAAGACCCAACCTGAGCCAGCTGATAGCACTCAAACAGTGCTGAACGTCAACGGACTCCATGCACGCCTGAAACTTTTCATTCAGACCACCTTCTGCTTTGAATTTCCATCTGGTAGTCTGAACACAACAAAATATAAGATCTGCAACTGAACTGTTTTGAGTCATGTCTCAAGTTAAAGAACCCCCCAACCAAAAAATAAAACAAATATAAAATATATATTAGGGGTGCAACAATACATGTACCCATATCAAACCTTTAAATACAGAGCTTTAGGTTCAATACACACTATGTATCGAACAATACAGATTTTTAACATTTATTTTATCAACTTGTCTTCTGAAGATGCTCTGTGTTAAAGGATCAGTGGATCTGTGTTCGACTAATCGATCTGGGCTGCATTTTTGAGCGCAGATCCACCAAGAAACTTGATGTTTCAGCAACATTTAATTTAAAAACTGTACTTTTGAGGTTAAACAAATGTTCATAATTAATTTCAATAAATTACAAGTTAAAAAAGGCATGGAAATTTCTCTTTTTTGTATCGAAAAAATATCGAACCGTGAGACTAAAGTAGTGAACCGAACCGAATCGTGAATTTTCTGTATCGTTGCACCCCTTATATATATATATATAAAATTTAATAAATGCTAAGCTGCTAAGTAAAGATAACAAAACAGCCATTCTTGGGAATATTGTGAAATTTTTTTCTTTGGCAAAATTTTCTTAAGAACTGTTTGTCAGATTCTGTCTTGATAAAAAAACATCTTTTTGTAGCAACTTGCCAAACCCAGAGTGGTGACGTTCTCCTAAGTTACTGTTTGTTGTGATAGTTTTTAGAGCGGACTGGATGCGCTGTGATAACTTCAGGCTAGAGGTGTGACGACACGTTGATCCACATCGATCAAATGGTTAAGGATTCAGTAACATTGAGACAAAATGAAAACATCCATCTGAAATTAATTTTGTGACTAAGTGAATTCAAGATCCAGTCTTGTATTTTACACTTTGTTCCTGTTTAAACCACACGGCTGCAATGATCACAGAGTCTTATCAATACGAGGCCTGTCTGCAAAAACAAAGTTGGTTACGTTCTAATGTCTGAAGTGAAAGATATCGCCTCCAGTGTCCATCTGACCAGGAAGTCAGTTACTTTACTGGGTGATGCTCCATTATGTTGCAATCTTGCTCTTAGTGCAGCAACAGACACCAGCTGCTAAAAGGATGTTATTGTTTTGGTTCTGATAAGACCCAAGGCCCCTTTCCCTCTCAGGTGCTGGCTGCCTTTGGGCCTTATTGGAGTCAGATTTTTTAATAAAATGTTTTAGAAGGGTGTAAACTTATTCAGACCTCTTACAGATCTTTATCGTTATCACATGCCCGATGTGGATCGATGTGGGCACGTTAAATCGCATCATATCGATCGCAGACTTTGTGAGTTGAACTGAAATCGTATCACGACAGACTTGGTGACATCAAAAACATCGTATCGTCAGCCAAACAAACCGATACGCTGTATTGTGATAAAGCTGCTAATTTACATTCCTAGTTTCTGCTAGAATGTCAATCACAGAACAGTCTGAGCAGCGTTGGGACATGAGTTGATGGTAAATACACAGTACAGCTGATAAGCCCAATAAATCTTCTGTTTGTACTCTGAAGTTACTAATCATAGTATATTCTCTCGTGTTATACATCCTTTACATAATTGCAACCTAACCGGCTCTGAATTGTTAAAAACGCCAAAAATGTTCAGATGTCTGAAGGTGTAATTTTTAAAGAAACATCAGCTGACCTGCTGTCAGACTGTTTTTTTTTTTTTTGCTCAGTGACAGTCCTCTGAGGGATGTGACTGAGTGTGTTTCTGCATACAAAGTGGCTAATTGACAGTCAATCGCAAAAACCTTTTTGGTTACCAATTCAAGGGCCAGGTGCGAACGCTCTCCAGAGATGTCCACTTGCAACTGGATCACCCAAGGCCATTGTTGGTGCCAAGTCTGAATACAGCTTTAGACTGAAACCATTATGCGTTACAATCTAAAAAAAACAAAAACAAACATATTTCTTTTAAAAAAATTGCTCTGATTTTTTTCTTCCATGCCGTTTGACAAGCAGTACAGCTTCCTCTCAGACGAGCTTCTCTCACAGGTGAAAACAAGAGATGCCTCAATCCAGCAGGGTGCTGGATTTCAATGGCCGACGCTGTTGAAGAATGTAAAAAAAAATAAAAAGATCTGGGACTTCAAACCCAAACTTTGTCTTAGGCTGCAGCGGAGCCAAACACCACGAACAACACAAATACTCTCCTAGACTTCAATTCCTAACATCTTCTCCTGAAAACAACAGGACACAGAATAAGGCCCAAATTGAAAACCACACTCTGTGCAGTTAATCTGTACACCGACGCTTTACAACGAGCTCACCTGAAGTTAAAAACTGGCTTTATGAGGTACCGTGTGGGGGAGACGATTCCATTGTTTTAAAGAACACGACGAGCGATCGCAGTTTTACACAAAAGGACACTTTAAAAACAAATCTTGAAACTAAATCCACCCTGTTAAAGCATCAAAACCAGCCCTGCCAACATACCACCTGCAGCAAACTCCAAATGAATAATGAACACTTCCAGCTCACAGTAACACTGAACTTTTTCAGAAAAGGGTTTTTTTAAGCCCAAAGGGACAGTGATGCAAGGTTTCTTAGTGCCCATATACAGTATATATGTATATATATTTTTGTTATGGAGAGCAGCAGAAAAAAAATCTGATGTTTTGTAAGGACGTAATGTCGCATTATCAGAATTGTTTTACTCGTTTCCTCCCACAACTCCTTTGTCTTTATGAAGCTTTGGCTTTTCTTGCCCGCGGTGACGTCTTCTCTTCAGACTTGACCACTCCATTGGCGGCACCTCCTGGTGAGACAAAGTCATCGGATCTTTATGGCTTTTTATTTGTTTTATACAGACGGGTCCAGACATACGACCGAGTATTAGGGCCACACAACAAGATGTTTTTATTATTATTACGAGTTTAAAGTTGTAATTTTATGAGAATAAAGTCAAAATATTATGACATTAAAGTCGTAATTTTATGAGATTAAAGTCGTAATATTAAGAGATTAAAGTCATAATATTAGGAGATTAAAGTCATAATATTAAGAGATTAAAGTCGTAATATTAAGAGATTAAAGTCAAAATATTAAGAGATTAAAGTCATAATATTAGGAGATTAAAGTCATAATATTAAGAGATTAAAGTCGTAATATTAGGAGAAAAAACATCATAATCTTACATGATGTGTCCATTTTCCATTCCTCATTTCCTCTTTATTTTCCCCACACCTGTTGTGTACAGCCATGTGTGTCTGTGTTTGTAAAGTAGTCCATGATGACCTGAGTCACTGTTAGATTAATTTGCTTTGATCCAAATTAGCTACGTGACGACTAAATCTGTCAATGCATCCATTAATTATAATACAGCTTCAGTTTATCATGTAGTCGTTTGCACAATTTCCAAGTCCTGCTACTGATAATTTGATGCTAATGTGTTAAAAGATTATTTATTTATAACAATACTAAAGAACAACTTGACAAGTTGCTCAACATTCCTCATTTTAATGCTGTGGTAACTGCAGGCTTTTTTTATGGAAAGGGTATAATTTTATGATTTTTTTCTCGTGATATTATGACTTTAAACTCGTAAACAAATAAAAAAAATCTCATTGTGCGGCCCTAATTCTCCGTCGTAGTGCTGTACTACAGAGTATCGGTGCTGTACTACAGAGTATTGGTGCTGTACTACAGAGTATTGGTGCTGTACTACAGAGTATT